ATAAAAAGGTTAATATTTAGTTTTACCCTTGAAATATTGCTAAAACATCAAATAAGTCCTTAAATAATGACTTTATATCCAATTTATCACAAAACCTTTATAATTTCCATTTTTTTTAAACACCCCATAATCTCAACTATATTCTAACCACTTTCTTTACAAAACGAAAACCACACGTACGCAAACTCTTGTTTGTCTTTAAATATTCTAACCACTTTCCTTACAAAACAAGAACCGTCCCAAAATAATTATTTATTACATTAAAATTAATTGAATATATGGCTTTAAATACTCATGTATTTGTCTTTATTGGAAAACTCAATTTATCTATGCAATGTGATTTTTGTTTTGTAAAGAAGGTGATTCGAATATATTTGTAGTGGTGGGATGTTTAAAAAAACTATAAATTAGAAAGCTTTTGGGATAAATTAGATATAAAATCAATGTTTAAGGACTTAATTTTTCTTTAGACCTTTTAAGACCTTTTAAGGACATTGTTCAAGTGCATGCATTGGAAAATTTGAAATATAAATAAATAAATAAATAAATAAATAAATAAATAAATAAATAAATAAATAAATAAATAGTAGATTAGTGAGTAAGAAGGCAATCTCTTCCAAGCGATTTGGTTGGTGAAGGATGCTCTTCATGGCTATTACAATGTCGCTTTATCAAGTGTGTGGTCGTAATCCTACTTCAATTCCCACATTTTGCACTTCATAACACTCTTTTTATAATTTTTTTATAATTAATTATGCCCGATTTATTATTATTTTTAATTAATCACTGGTATCCGATCTATTGATCGTCTAATCCATATCAAGTACTGCAGAGGCGAGGGAACCCAGTTTGCTCCATTCGCAAACATCAGTGTTCGAACTCCCAACCTTGCTTAAGGAATCTAGTGCCTCATCCCACTAGACCAACTGATTGCTAGTGAATTATTATCTTATTAATTTAGATCGATCATTATAAATGTTTATTGTGACATTCATAAAGTTAAAATTCAAGATTTTAAATTATTTAAAACATCCAATGTCCCTTTCACTAAAGTAATTAGTAGTTACCAACAACCAGTTGATCTAGTGGGATGCGACACTAGATTTCTTAAGCAATGTCAGGGGTTCAAACCCTGACATTTGTGAACGGAGGAATCTGGTTTGGGAGGGTCTCCCTCGCTTCTGCAGTATTCGATCTGGATTAGTTGATCAATAGATCAGATACCAATGATTAATTCAATATAATAATAATAATGATAATAATAATTAGAACAATTAAGGACGAAAATGATGGAGATAAAAATCGGAGAAAACTAAAAAATAAGCAAGCAAATTAATTTGTGTGTCCATTTCTCAAATCAAACAACAAATTGGTTGATATTTAGCAATCAAAATAGTAATATAGAACCATAATTATTAATTAATAGGAGCAGAGAAAGGAAATTATATAAAAAAAATCGGTTATTGTAATTAATTTTATTTATTTTTTAAAGAAGATATATATTTTCATAATCATATTTATAAAACCAAACAAGAAATTGGTTGATATTTAGCAATCAATCTAGTCATAGGGAACCATAATTAATGGTACCAGCAAATAAAGGAAACTATAAAAAAATCTCTTATACTAATTAATTTCAATTAATAATCACAAAAAAGTCATAATAAAATATTAAAATTTAAGAAACATATCAACCGCGAATTTAAAATAATAATTGCATCTCTCAATTTTCTTTTAACTCATACTTTGATTACTAAAAATATAAGAATTTTAAATTTATTAAATGAATTTTTGATTTGTTATTATTTTGATATTTTTTCGTTAAATACTTAACAACATTATAATTATACATTTTTATTTTGAAAATTATGAAATGATCTCAAAACTTTCTTTATTTCTTTGTAAAAAAACTTATAATTTCGAATTTTATTGGATTTCTTAATGATAAATCATTTTCTTCCAAATCCCAACGATTGAGAGTTTGAGAAGGAGGAAGCGGGATGTATATCTTGATTAACGCTGCTTGGATGGTTGATAATATATATCAGATTGATTTGAGATTTTATGAGTTTTTAGTTTAGGGTTGAGTTTCACGATTTTTAAATTGATTTAGGTAAAATTTAAATTGATAGAGTAGTAGGATAAATGAGGTGTGCTTGTCGATATCTTTAGTGGTCAAGGAAGACATCGAATAATGATAATTGTAATGTCGGTGTGACATAGATATGTAACTATAAAATTTTCATATTTGCAAAAAGAAAATAAGTTTAAAAAAAGGAAATGAGGTGAATGACAATGGATTCCATGTGAATAAAAAATAATCCACAACAACACACGTGATTACCATGTCACCATTACATTTTTTAAAATCTTCAATGACAAAAATAGGAGTGTGAAGAAAATTAAGTGGCCAAATCTGCAATTTACCCAATATAATATAAAAAATGGACAAATGATCTATTTCTTTTTTCTTTTTGGTCCTCTCGGTTTCAAGTAGGGATGGCAACTCAACCCGAATCCGACGGGTTCCGACTCGACCCGACCGGGTCGGTTTTTTTTTTAATTTCAGGTTCGGGTCAAGTTTTTTTTAATGCACTGTTTGGGTCGGTCGTGTTTAGGGTGGAAAAAATCCGATCCGACCCGAACGACCCGAAATATATATATAATTTTACCCTATATATTTAGGGATAATTACAATAATACCCCTCTATATATAATTTTTTCAATTAAGTCACTGTTTTTATTGAATAAAATTTTTTTATTATTATTTCGGGTTGGGTCGGGTCGGGTTTCTAAGTTATATATTCGGGTCGGGTCACGGGTGGAGGACCATTTATTCTCGGGTCGGGTGACCCAAAAACCCGACCCAACCCATTGCCATCCCCAGTTCCAAGACTTTACCCTGATTAATCTGAACCAACTCGCTTCGCACACCTAATTTTAATGGGTGAGTATCTAATATGAGATTTTCTACATACATAAGGACTCAAACCCGATACCTTATGATATCAAATTACTTGTCACTTGAATTAACCATGTAAGTTTTTTTTAAGAAGATAAATATTTTCAGTAATTTTTAAATATATTAAAATGAATACTAAAGTCAAAATAAATACTATATTCTATGATGGAGGGAATACGTGTGAACCATTACCCGTACGGTCGCAATCATAATTATATAAACGTGACATGACCATTGAACAATGACAAATATGGATGTATTAAAAGATGCTTGGTTTGTTAACACATCAAATATCAACTTATTTTAAAATTAAGATAATAAAATCAACAATAATAATTAAACATAACTTTGATAAAAAATCGTTTTATGTTTAATAAAAGAATTTACCACTTATTTGACAACTGCAAACGATTTCGAGGGTATATATCTAGAGATAGAATAAAATTTAGGGTTAAGTATATAAATGATTCTCCGATTGTAGGTACTATTTTGGTAAGTTTTTTTACTATTAAAAGTTACAAAATGATAATCTGATTATTCATTATGTTCTAAACCCGTCATTTTCTATTTAAATATTAGTTGTTGTCTAAGCTGGAGGTTGACATGATGACTGTGATATGATAGTCATTTGAGATTCTAGGATAATATTTTATCTTATCACAATCAATAGGTTAATGTTCAACTTAAAATACCGTCAAATTTTTAATAAAAAATGATGAGATTTGTAACATAATGAATAGAAAATTTATGGAAAGAAAAATGGAAAAAATTAAAGAAATTAAAAAAAAAGTTAATTACAATTATTGAACATCTTTAGTGGGCCACCTTAATATTCACGACTGTGTCAGAAGAGAACAAAGAGTTCCACACGTGCAATATATATCAATATAATGATTGATAAATATAGCGGCAATATTCATAGAACACGTAAAAGAAAATTTATTCTAAAAACAAATAATTATAATTTTCAAATATAAATTCTAAATGAATATAAATAATATTACAAATATATCAAATGATAATATAAACTCATGTGGATAGCACGAATTAAGTGATCTATGTGGTAAATAAATTGTCATTGTTCCTAGAGGATCCAGATTATATTTACCCCAAATTAATAAAAAAATTATATTGATATAATTATATTTATAATATTTATCCTCAAATTATATGTTAGAAAATATAACATTTAAGTAAGATATTTTTCTTATTATAACCATCAACTTTGACATTGAATATTAACTTTAGATCAAGACGGAAAGTTATTTTTTTATTGTTACTAAATATTTTGTAAGTAAATAATAAGTGTTTTGGTTTTATTTGTATTTAATTAATTTATTAATTAATCAAAATATTAAAATTTAAATTATTCGTCATAATTAAAATAAACAATAACATTATAGTAATTCAATTTTTGAATTTTTATTAATTTAAAATAATTATAAGATAATATAAAAATTAATTATTAATGATGAGTATCAGTAATATTAAACCATTTGACTATTAAGGTACAAAATGATCACCCTACTATTCATCATGTTCTAAACTCGTTATTTTTGTTAAAAAAATTAACGGTTATTTAAGTTGGAAGTCATCATGATGATCGAGATATGATAGTCATTTGAGATTTTAAAATCATATTTTATCATATCACAATCAACAAGTTAATGTTTAACTCAAAATATTTTTCATTCTTATCGAAAAAGAATAAGTAAATAATCATATGATCATTTTATAATATTTTAATAATTAAAATACTCAACAAAATAATACTTAATAGTCATAAGATCATTAACTTAAGGTCTAATCGGGACGATCCCGATTTTTATACTTTGCCCAATTTTAAAAGAGAAAACACCCTCGTTGAGATCGAGTTTTGTGAGATTATGTTCGTCCCTGTGGTTACAGTGATGCAACCGACAAATATAATGTTAAAAATGGTTGGATTTTCGATGTTTCAAAGTTTGTCTGCTGGTCCCAATGTTGTTGGAACATCCCATCACTTTTTTCCTTATTATTACCAATAAGAATTATACTCGTTCCATCTTCTCCACTCACTTTCTGCGTCGCTTCCCCCACCACTTTCCATCCGCCCCGACATTCTTTAAGAGCAACCCAATCCCCGTGCCGTCCCAAACTCGCCATCCTCCTCCCTGTTTTCTCTCGTCTTGCTCCTTTCGTTGTTGATTGCAATGGGGTTCTTGCCGAAATTTCTCAAACGACGTAAACACACGGCGGCTATCGGCGTGGCCGATGATGAAAAGGGAAGTGATTTGAGCGTCGAAGATGGTAAAGGGTCGGTTAAGAGATTTACATGGGATGAGATTAAGGATTTTACAAAGGATTTCTCTCGTTTGATCGGTCAAGGAGGGTTCAGCAATGTCTACTTGGCTAACTTGCCTTGTTCTGCTCTCGGAGCTGTCAAGATCCATGTCGGAAATGATTGGTTAAACCAAGTGTTCAAACAGGAACTGGATATTGTGACCCGACTCCAACATGACAACATCGTCAAATTCATCGGTTACTGCGATGATCAAGGTAGTTGCTTTGCTTTAACTCATTAGTAATGGAGAAAAAAGGAAAAAGATTCGGTCTTTTTTATCGTTATTTTGTTCATTTTTGTTTTATAGAGGAAGGTGCAATGGTGTTCGAGTACGTTTCGAATGGAAATTTGCAAGAGAAACTCCATGGAGACGAAAGGGAATCGCTTCCATGGAAGACTCGACTGAGCATAGCTTTTCAGCTTGCAGAAGCAATCGAGTTTTTACACGACAAATGCAGTCTCCAGATAGTTCATGGCGATGTCAAAGCTTCGAACATCTTGTTAGACGAGCGTTTCAACTGCAAACTCTGTGATTTCGGGTCATCAAAGATGGGATTTTCGTCGACGGTGGTGCCGCCGAGGACGAAGCTGATAATGGTAGGCTCACCGGGGTACACTGACCCTCATTATTTGAGGACGGGTATTGCTTCCAAGAAGAACGATGTTTATAGTTTGGGTGTTGTTATTTTGGAGCTTGTGACCGGAATGGAAGCCTTTTGTCCCAAAAGGGGACAATTGTTGACGTCGATGGTGGCGCCGAAGTTGAGGGGGATCACTGATGGTGGTGGAGGGGTGGCCAGAATGGTGGATGCGAGGCTGGGAGGTGAGTTTGACTTGGAAGAGGCTAAAGTCATGCTTATGATTGCTGGGCTTTGTCTTCAACAGTCGCCAACTGCTAGGCCTTCTGCTGCAGAAATCATGCAGACGATGAAGGATAAGATCAATTCCGTTGATTCACGGTTGTTGCTGTCGCCGCCAGCCAAAGATTGCCGTCGTTGATTGACTCGATGGTGATGATCGCGTTGAACTCAATTTATTTCCCCTTAGATTAGCTGGGAATTTAGCACATGTAAATCGAAACATCAAATATTTAGAACGAACGGTTTGTACTGTAAATTCAACAGATGAACTGGATTTTGAATGTTTGTAAGTATAGTTTCCAGAAACGATATGAAATACAAGACGAGCATCATGAATACTCGAATTCGGATAACTCGACATTTCAGGCTCAAACTTGTTGCATTCGGTTGTTAATTTACAAATTCCAACTCAGGATTTGAGAACTCCGGGAGAGGAGGGAAGTCGGATTGAATTCCCTCACACGAGTCAGCTGAAGCAGATGGAACTGTTCGGTTTTGCAAAAGAATAACAAGTAATTTAGGAGGGAAGCCGGATATAGGATGTTATTTTGTTGAGTCATCTGACTATTAAAAGTTATAAAATGATATCATTACCATACAACGTTGTTTTGTTGAGTCCCTCGACTATTAAAAGTTATAAAATGGTCACCCCACTATTCATATGTTTCAAACTTGTTTTTTTCCGTTCAAAAATTGATGACAATCTGAATTGGAAGCTACCCTGTTGACTGAAATATGATAATCATTTGAAATTTTGAGATTATATTTTATCATGTCATAGTCAGCAAGTTAACGTCCAACTCAGACTACCATCGAATTTTAATAGAAAAGAACGAGTTTGAAACATATGAAAAGTCTGGTGACCATTTTGTTACTTTTAATAGTTGGAAGACTCAACAAAATAATATTCTATAGTTAGGAAACCATTTGTGTACTTTACCCTAGTTTAATTATATATATAAGATTATTTGTATATTCTTAAACTTGATTCAATTATATATATAACATTATTTTAATTTGATTAGGAAAAAACATAATGCATTGTCGATATTTTGATAAAATTAATTTATTTTTTACAAAAGAATTATATTTTTAAATTAAGTATTTATATAATTATATTAAATTATTATATGTTATTATTATAATTTTTAATTAATGTGTATATATATATATATATTGATACATAGTTCGTATAAAATTTACTTAAAAGTTTCCACTCAGTCGAGTATTTTACCTTAAAAAAGTTCGAGAATATTATCTCGTGAATTCACCAATTTAATATATATATATATATATATATATATATGAAAGTGCCAAAAACCCTAAATTTGATATCAAAGAGAAATTTAAAGAGAAATTTGATTCCACGCCCAAAGACCCTTCCAATTAGCAGGTGATGCTTTGATTTCTTGATCTTTATTACACTGCTCTGAAGCAATTTTTCTAAATTCAAAAGCTGCATCTCATTATATTATATTATATTTCGACAGAGTAGAGAGAAAGCTCGAATCTTTTGTTTGTTTTGTTTGAATTTGAAACACTGTTTATTTTCACTGCAATTTGATTGCGTCGATGGATTTGTTTGATTAATTTATGGTTTGCTGACTTTAATGGCAGCTAATTTATTCGAGTTATAATCACCGATAACCAGAGAGATTTGTTTGGAACTTTAGAATGGAAAGATTTGAACCTCAACTAAACCGGTGTACTCGGAAAAAACAGAAGGTATTGTTCTAATCACCGAGATAGATGCTGGTTTAGATATATAACATAAATATTCTATGTTTCTTTGTTTTTTTCTCTTGTACTAACATCTACTGTTTTCTCTATTGTCTCTTACTTGTGTCATGGTATTTAAGAGAGAATTTGATCCTGGAGATAGAATAAGTCATCTATCAGATGATGTTCTAGTTTCTATTTTGTCTCACTTGCCGAGAAAAGTTGCAGCAAGAACAAGTCTACTTTCACGACGATGGAGAACGGTATGGACTTTCATTCCACGTTTGGAGTTTGATGCTTCAGACACGTTTCTTAAGGTTAAAAACCGAACTTTGGGTTCTATGAGTCTGTATGATATTATAGATTCAGAAAAGGTCAGGTTCGTAAATTTTGTAAATCAATTTTGTGGAATTGTATCCTCTACCTGTTATTGAAGAATTCAGAGTTTGCTTTGATCTTAATAGAAGCCATAAGCCTGACATTGACAATTGGGTGAAGTTTGTTTTTGAAAGGAATTCTAAAAGAATAGAGTTGGACTTCACAAGATTTATGAGTTTAACTCCTCTGAAGTGTTCCTTATATAGATTGTGTCCACTGAGTCTTGGTTTACCGAGTTGTATTCCCCTTACATCGCTTGTACTGAAATGCGTAGATGTAAGTGATGAAGTTATTAACAACTTTGTATCCAATAGTCCTTTTCTTGAATGCTTATGTGTGCAATGTTCACCGACTCTGGTTCATGTGAGAGTTGCTGGCCCATGCCTTCACTTGAGAAGCTTGGAGTGTAACATCCTCCATGTCGGGTTAGTGATTAATTTGCAAAGTTTCAACATTTGGTGATTAAAGTAGAATAATTATATAGTTTAAATAGTATGGTTAGTAAATATGAGATGGGGTAAGGACCAAATGGTCATTTGCAAGGAATTTCTAATTAAAATAAAATGTTATGGGGTATATGAGAACCACGTGTGATTTTAGGTTCCAGAACCTCCCATTTCTTCTTCCTTCTTCCTCATTTTCTTCTCTTCCTTCTCTCAACGTGTGGCTTGCAATTAAAGGTAAGAAACTGAACTTGGTAGTTTCTTTGATTGTTAAGATTGGAAATGAAAGTTTGTATGTTATATAAGCTAAAGGAAAGCTTATATGACATTAAAACAACAAGATTAGTGTTTTAGAGATAGATTTGGAAAATGAGTTTTTAGATGAAATTTTGATATGGATGAGTTTTTGATGTTTGAATCAGATTTTTTGACTTGTCAATAAGCTAATTAAGAAGTATGAGGGGTTAGAATTCAAATTAGAACATATTGGAATTTGGGTTGGATTCTTAAATTCTACATGGAGAATTGGATTTCTAGGTTTTAGAGGTATTTAATGGATAATAATTAGTTTAAGTAAGTGTATGAGAGCTAAGAGTAGTAAAGGGATTGAAATATGTATGTTTGAGCTGAAATGGGATGATTTCCGAGCTCAAATTAGGATTTCTGGGTTAGGGGAATCGGTACCCATTCAAGGGGAACCGATACCCCCTCAACGAAATGAATTTCCAGATTGCTAGAGGGGAATCGGTACCCCCAGGGGGGGAACCGATACCCCCTCATCGTATATGAAATTCCAGATTGCTTGGGGGAATCGATACCCCCAGGGGGGAACCGATTCCCCCATGAGAAAAAGAAGAAGAAAGAAAAGAAAGCAAGACTAAGCTATAAATTCTTTAAATTAGTAAGCTATTAAAGCTTAATTGCAAGACATAGACATCTGATGATCATCTTAAAAATTATGTTTATGTAGATACCGAGCCTACTCGAGTTCGAGAACAATCTACAAGTAGGATCGATCGAGGAAAAGGCAAAGAAGTATAGGTGAGTGCATATGCATAGCATGAATATAGTAGTATATTCAGTTCTAGACTTGTGATAAGTCTAGATTCCATATTTTGACATATGATTACATTCCATATTATGATACATGACATGAATTTGTATTAAATGTATTACATGACATGAATTCATATTATATGTATTACATGACATGAATATGCAGAAAAAGTTATATGCACTATGTGATAAAGGTATGTAAATGATATGCCTATGTGTTAAAGGTATGGAAATACTATGTCTACGCGATATGAACTACGGGAAATGTATAAGCCCATGTTATGTAGATGAGAATTATAGGTATAGTTGGCATGCCAAGGGTAGAGGGTATACTCGGTTCTTTAGGACATATGTATATCCTTTGGAACCTGTGTGAAGTCTTGAAAGACACATACTTGATCCATAGTATATGTATATGATTCTTAAGGAATTCTACGTGGTCCTTATGGACATAATTCTACGGGCACTTCGGTGCAATTCTACGGGCACTTCGGTGCATTTATACGAGCTGTGGTGACAGCATAGTGCACAACCTCAAATTACTCAAATACCTTAGGTTCTCAATATGCTATCATGGGCCAATAAACTTATTAATACAGAATAATGAATGTTACAGTCATACGCTTACAGGTATGGATATTGATGAAGTATACTACATTGATTAGTTACATGTTTGCATCTCATCTCATATGATCCTGACATTTTCATTACATTACATTGCCTTATTATTGTTGCCTCACTAAGTCGATGACTTAGCGTGTGAGTGTTTCACACGTAGGATCCGAGGAAAATAGAAGAGACAGGTGAAGCAGCTTGACAGTATTACTCCTGCAACCATCAGATCAGAAGCAACTTAATCAGTAGGTCATTTTGTTATGTAAATGACAGTTGGCATGTAATTAAAGGGTTAAGTTGTGTATGCTCTGAATATTTTGGTAAACTTATATTACAGTATGTATATTATGGTATTTTCTTTTATATCAGTTCAAATATTTTACTATTATTTATTAAGAGTTGTGTTTTAAAGTCAATGTAGTATCTCTGACTCATATCCGGGTCGGGTATGGGTTGGGGGTGTTACATTTAATGGTATCAGAGCTATGGTTTAGCCGATTCTAGGCATAAACCAGAGTCTATGGAGTCTTTAAATGGAATACATGCCAACAAATAGTGAGAACTTCTGATCTGGTATAGTATGAGTATGCTGTTTTGCTAATAGGATAATGTGTTTATTCTTATTAGATGTCCGGACATAATAGCTCCCGAAGTGAAGCGGGAGAAGATAGGCATGCTGAAAGCAGTAATTCACCTGCCCTGGCCAGGCAGAGTGAAGAAC